CCCAGCACTTTGTTTCCATAATTTCACTAAATCAGTAACTTCTAATGGTAACAATGGCCACTAAACTGACAGCCTAACTCTGGAGCTCATATAACAGTGAGATTTTAATCTTCAGAGCTGCAATGTACTTGGGATGTTTCAATTTGATAACGTTAACAGCTGCCTACCTACTCCACTTCACTTCACCACTTTGCCTTCGTCCATAATTTCTTCAACATCTGTCAAAACTGCCAGTGTGGAACCAGTGGGAAAACCAGGTCTCAAGGTCTCCAGAAATGAAGTCCTGCACAAATCAGTGTGAATTTACAAAACCAGTAGGTTTAAAATTTAGACTCGGGGAAAAGAGGCTAGGAACGTCAGTTTTTTCAGCCAAGATATACAAGGTTTTCTTCCAGTCCCACTGTTTTTGAATCACCTTATGTAGCATGGGCAGGATTGAAGATAGGCCTTCATTACTGAACAGGAAGGTATTGAAACAGAATCATTTAAATAAAGGAACACTGATATAATTGGGCAATGTTGCAGATGCTGAGCTGATGTTGGATAAAATCCTAAAGTTATATTTGCTTTTAAGTGTTCATCTGTTAATTCCTGTTAGCATAAATATGTTACTAAATCTCCCACAGTAAGCAGCTGTGGTAAATGACTTCTGTAAGCTTAAAAGCCAATGGTAATAAAGTATTATTTTGTTTTCCATTAAAAAAAATAACAACAGAGGCTTGTATGAGATGTGCATACACGTTTGGTTCCAGTGAAGTGTTATTCATGAGCACCCGAAGTTATTTCCTATCTGAAATCTCTGTCACTGCAAATTAGCTACATATGCTATTGCCTTCCTATCGCGATTCTTACTGCCTCCAAATTACACAAGTTTTCTATGTACAGCTCTGGGTCTGCACAAAAGTTTTGGGGCCACCTTAATGCCATTTCTCCTTGATGACTCAAGTTTACCATTAAGCTAGGAACACAGGATCAGGAAAAGTTACCCAAGCCACTGAATCCAGTCCTCTACGAGCCCACAAAAAAACACAGTAGGTATTTCAACAAGCTACAGGTTTTCTGTTCTATACACCACCACTCAGGGTGGGGGGACGATGATGGGGATGACACAAAAAAACCCAAAAAACTTAAAAAACCCAAAAAATAAAAAAAAAAAACAAAAACAAACCAAAGAAGAGCGGAAGAGCCATAACTATAGCACGTCATGAGAAGTGAGCAAGAGAGGTAAGGCATTGCTAGTGTCCTAAGTCTGTACAATAGCTTGCAGCATATTAAATATTTATGGTCTGAAGAAATAGGGAAACTGATACAGATAAAATTATCCTTCAATCCAAGCAGCTATTGCAGACTTGCTAAGCGTGAGATAGGCTACTAGGGATTACAGAAGGTGTCAGTGAAGTTACACACAGGCATATACAAAGTAGAAAAAGGAAAATGCTTCAAAATAACGTATTACCCAAAACAAAACTGTAGTCTTTGTATAAGCCTATTTCTATACATAATGTTTCCAAGTGCCCTTTACAGAATTTAGGCAAAACTTGAATTACTTTCTTTTTTTAACAGAAAAGCAATACGAATTGAGGATTCTAATAAAGCATTTCATACTGCATTTCACAGCATCTTACTGGAAACATCAATTCAAAATGGCTTGCAGCACAGAGAGATATGGCTTGGAATTTGGGTTAAAAGATCGTAAGTTGGAGATAGTGGTGTATTCACATTATGTAAACTTGCCCTTTGTCCATCTTTATTTATTAAATTTATTTATAGTCACCATAGGGACCTCAGATGAAAGGACCACTGCATTGGAGAACTGTCTGGTGAATGCTCTGAGGAAAACTTGGGTACAGTTTGTGGGCTGATGCAAAGTCGATACAACGCTGGACTTTGGCAATGGAGAAAAATCCCGAGGAGATGGAGCTACCATAGCCTTTTAGAGGCCACCAAGAAGAAAGAAACACAGAGTTAACCCACCAACTCCAAAACCCGTCGTAGAGGTAAGAGGAGATGCAGCCGCACCTGTAAAGGTGTCTACCCGTCAGAGGTGTGGAATGGCACGGGCTCGCAGCAGCAACCCAGAGCAGAGAAGCCAGCCCCGCTGCTATTTCCCCATACACTGGCCAAGTCCTCACAGGATCCCGAGACTCGAGCCTCTCACAGTAAGCCTGTGCATCCACTGAGCTCTGGAGTCAAGGCCACAGCAGTACTAGCTCTAAGTTTTACCTTGTGCTACACTCACCCAGGGATACAGTCCTTCTCCCTCATTATTCAGCTGACTGCACTATGGAGGTGGAGTTGGATGTGGACATAATTTAGTAAGTTTGTGATATGACTAGAAACGTTTGGCACACTCTGAATAACCAGTGTTTCAGTAACTTACTGAGCTTGATTACCTTGGAGGTTCTGACAGGAAAAATAATGTTTTCCTAAAGGTTGAAACAAATTCTACTAAAAACAACAGCAACCCCGGACCAAAGTCAAGATTCCATTTCTATATTGCTATTGATTAAGCTCACAGAAGGACTTCTGCTCCACTGAAATGTAATACCTACCCCTTGATACCTCTCTTTTATGCACTTTGGCCTTTACATCCCATGAGCCCTTTAATCTCACTCTAAAGAGCCAACCGGTCCAGGCTGCTTCTCAGCCATCCATAGAAAACTGTAGTCCTCAGAAGAAATGATTTCCCTCTCCTCCTCCATCAACTGATTTCCAAAGCCGAGCCAAAATAATCACACCACAAGCATACTTACATGGTGCACTGCCACCTGAAATATGCGGGGCTCGCTTCATTTCCAAGCTACATTTGTCATTCACAGTGCTTAACTGCAGGCATATAGCAAAATGTTATGACAATAAAAAAGGATTTTCAATAACATTGTTGAAAAATAAGTTAAAACAGAAATTTAAGAAGAGTTTGGTAAATCCTGAAACAGGAAAAAGCTGAATATGTCATTCCAGCATCATGGCTTTTCTTCAGTTCTTGACCCTGCCTCGGTTTTGAAAGCAGATCCCTCCTTCCAACTTCTTCGTGCTCTTTAAATCAAGGGCCCCACTGGACTAATGTAATCCATATGCTTACTATTGTTTACATGCTATTCATAAGGGTCAGCTCAGCTGAATTATGACCCCAGCACACATGCTTCCCTACTGTCTGTTACCTTTATCACAGAAAGGCACGCTTGGAGAAAAAATAAACAGAATGTGATGAGCATGAAGTTTATTACATTTTCAAGAACTGTTTTTATGTACATTTTTGCTAGACGTCAGAACAAGAATATTTTGATGAGATACTTGATTAAATATCTTTAAAAGTCATCAGAAATAAATTAGACGTGAGTGATGCATGTAAGCAAAGCATCAGCTATATATTCATTACTGAGTAGACACAGAAGCCACTCTTTCTTTCTTTCAGAAAACAGACTTTTGTATTGGAGAGGACTGGATCAAGAATTTCACATGAGAATCTTGTGTTTATCGTTTTAGAAAGGTCCTATGTTCTGCATGGCCCAGTGTAGGATGAGCAGCTGGTTCAGGATTTGTGATGTGGTAAGGAAGCTGCTGGACATGCATAAATAAACTAACATCTCTCCTCACTGCCCTGCTACAGAAACGCAAATCTACCACAGGACAAGAAAATGAACAATTAGCAGAACCTTGCTTGAAAACAATGGGTTTTTTCCCTAAGAACAGGATTTGTTATATTTACTGCTTTTCCCGATGGCAGCGAGAGGGCTTGCAGTGCATGGAGCTGGCGCACTGTGGCAAGTCCAAGCAGTGGCAGGAGGGCCGGCGCGTGTTGCAGCAGCAGCTGCTGCAGGCACAAGGAGGCAGGGAGCCGCACCGCGGGATCGGGGCAAACCAGAGGGAAACACTGCTCTCCAGGGAGCGTTAGACAAAGCAGGAACGTGATGGGCGCACTAAGGAGCATGGGGTGTTAGCAGCATGGCTAATGCCCTACTGACTCGGGGGAAGCACGCAAGCTCAAACCAGAACGCTCTACAGTCCTCAAGGCAGAAACTAGCTGCACTCAGATGCTAAACAGGGCTGGGGAGAGGAAGAAAGCAACGAGCTGCTGGTGGAGCTGGGGGCAGCGACAAGCCTTTTATCATTTCTATCCTAAGCACTGTGCAGCAGGTGGTGTTCAACAGCCGACTCTTAAGAGTAAGTCCAAAACTCAAGTGAGGACTGTTTCTGGCCCAATGAAGGTGCCTCACGAAGTTTTTACATATAAAAAAGGGGCTGTCAGCTCCCCTGTAGACTTGTTTTCTATTATACACCTCACCTAAAGGAGTAATATATGAAGCATACTGCTGCCTAAGACTTAACAGAGCCAACAACATAAAAAGAACAAGACACTGATCCTCCATCATTTCCTAAAACATGAAGAAGTATCTGGATGCAGATACACATGGTTTAGTCAATTTGCATTGTGCTGTGGCTGTGTGATGCTCTCAAAACAAACAAACAAAAACCCACCCAGAAAGCAAAACAAAAGCATGCCACTAATGGTTTGAAACTTAATAACATAACTGACACGGCATTTGCTTCCTTTCAGCATT